TTTGCCGAATGTTTATAATTAATGCTGGTCCTGGTTTTAGGATGCTCTGGCCTACAGTTAAAGCATTTCTTGATGCTAGAACAACTGCAAAAATTCATGTATGGTTGATGACATCAGACAATTGGATGTTTCTATGGACTGAAGTTCTCAACAGGGTCAGCTGATATTTTTTTTCATTCTTCTTTTTTTCAGGTTCTGGGTAACAAGTACCAGAGCAAATTACTTGAAATAATCGATGCAAGGTGATTGATGCTTTTCTTTGTGGGTATGCGGGTTATTTATTGTTCAGTTGTCTTAACTATTAGATGTTGAAATATTTTGGCTCTTTTTAGTGAGTTGCCAGAATTTCTGGGTGGTAGCTGTACCTGTTCCAATCAGGGAAGTTGTATGAGGTCTGATAAGGGGCCATGGAATGACCCAAACATATTAAAGGTTCTGTTAGATGAATTATTATATTTGTGTCACTTTTTTTCTTCTTGAAACTGTGCTTTGTATGGCTTACATGTAATGACTTTTGCTTGCAGATGGTACTTAGTGGCGAAGCACAATGTTTCAGACAAATAGTTACAGTTTCTAACAGTGAGGGAAGGATAATTGCTTCTGATAAGCCACGTATTCCAATGGTACAGATTATTAGACCATCCTACTACGTCTATAATGGATCTACATGTATTATTTTAGAATTGATCCAAAAAAAAATTCTTCCTTCTGATGCTATGTTTATATTGTTAATTCAGATAAGAAGTAGTGATACATCTACGGCAGAGTCGGGATCTGAAGTGGAAGAAATTGCTTCACCTAAAGCAACTAGGAGCTACATACAACCTAAGTTGACTCCTGTTTGTGAAGAAGTAAGTGTCTCTATTCAAACAATATCTGTCATTTGAGTATGTTCAGGAACATACGTCATTTGAGAATCCTTAGCAGGAAAAACATGTAGAACCAATCTAATAAATGTCATGAAAGGTTTTAGCATCACGTGCTTTATTAGCAATTACATGTGTGTTTGGCTTTGCTAAACACAGGAATCTTCTGCTGTAAATGTTCATATCATGTCATCTGAATTTTGAGCTCATTGATGGTATGCTTCAATGCTTGTTTAGGCTAGGGTTGTTGGTAAAGCAAGTAGCTCTGCTGGTTTGTCGGAGTACGATGAATACGTTCCCATGGTTGACAAGGCTGTGGATATTGGATGGAAGAAACCAGTCTTGCAACAAAATCCACTTGCTTCTAGAGGTTTGGAATCTTAGTTATGCTTTCACTGTACCCTGTGATATAGTGTTATTTCTTTCTTGGCAGTAATTTAAAACACTTCTTATATTTACAAAGTTATGCTCTTTATTGGCAGTAATCTCTATCTCTCTCTCTCTCTCTCTCTCTCTCTCATTGGAATACATTGCAGGGGCATCTTCACCAAGATCTGTGGGAAAAAAACCAGATGGAATCTTGGCTCATGTCTGGACTATGCTTGTGGCATTCTTTGTAGCCCTTGTTATGCTAATCCGATCTGTTGCATTACGGGCGACTAAGAAACTTCCAAACTCTGTTTTGGATTCTGCCCACAACATTCCTGACCTGACTGCTGACACAGTTCCCATGGAGGAACTCCGGCCTCCATCACCTGCTCCAGGGTTTAGCAAGGCAAACCTTCTCTCATCTGCTTTGCAGAAGCTTGATGAACTTGAGGAGAAGGTAGGCATGCTGCAAGCAAAGCCTTTTGAGATGCCTTATGAGAAAGTGGAGCTATTGAATGCTGCTGTTTGTCGTGTAGATGCGTTAGAAGCAGAGTTGATTGCCACAAAAAAGGTAATTTTGTCTCTCATTTGATAATCGTTTGTTTGTGCCGATTTATCAACAGTTGTGATTCATTGCTTGTTTTTACCTCTGAAAATAACTGGTGTACCAACATGGTTGACTGAAATGTAGATATACAATATTCACTAGTTAAAACTACAGGTCTAAATATGATTTCACTAGTTCTCTCCATTTCCTGAATCCTTTTTTTTTTATTATGAATCAATCTAGATTTTTTGTCAAGTATACATTTGGCATTATATGTTAACAAGGGTTATATATGCCTATCTTTTGATATTTGCATATTTTGGTCAGTTTATATATTCATCTTTGTTATTTCTTGCATTTTTCGATCATTTTGATGATTTAATTGTGATTTCATGCTTCTTCCTGACTAGGCTCTGCATGAAGCTCTAATGAAGCAGGAAGAACTTCTTGCATATATAGACAGGCAAGAACAGGCCAAGCTTCGGGTTAGTTAAAGATTTTGCTCCTTCAACTGTAGTTGAAAGATTTAATCAATGCAGGCTTTTCTATATTTTGCGAATGAAACTGAAATTTTGCCCGTCTCCGTTGGTATGAAACAGAAAAAAGGGTGTTGCTGGTGAAGAGTCTGTTTCAAGAGGACTTGCGTGGTGATATGGTGGCTATCTTTGCTTGTTATGTTTAAAATATATTTTCGATATACCAAGTTTGTCTTCCAGAGGTGCTGCTGTTTCTGTTTATAAGCTTCCTTGTACGCGTTATAATGTTGTAAATAATGAAGAGTATTGTACAACACTCCTCAAGGTCTTCTGCCTGCGCATGCGCAATGACTCTCTAATTTATTTTGATACTGTAGTTATAATATGGAGAAATTCACCACGAAATATGTTAGAACCTTAATGTTTATAACATCTGTTATAGGGTATGGCTCTCGTCATCTGCAACATTGATATACTCTACTCACCTCGTTTGGATATAACAGGAATGATTATACTAAAATGCAGGCTCGGTAATTAAATTATTTTCATGGTTAGTGAACACGATTTCATATAAATTGAATGTTTTAGAAAACAATTCTATCTCTAGGGAACTCATCGTATCAATTGAAAAAGGTAAAGAGCATTCAGATACTACTTCGTCCATATTCATTTGCCTACCGTAATATCCTGCCACGCAGTTTCCATCTTGTTCTTGCTTTGGAGGAGTGTGATAAGACCTTGAAGGGAAACTTGAGCATCATCACTCTTCAGCAGCTCTCCAGCAACTTCAGCAGGTGTTGCTTGCGCCTTGTAATAATCCAGCAACTTCTCAATATCTCCAAAAAGTGGGTGCTCTTGAATCCGCAAGTAATTGTATGCCATTGTCTTGAAACCACTGAAGGTGCAGTAGGACATGTGGATGTGCAGGTCCATCCGACCAGGTCGCAGCAACGCCGGATCAAGTCGGTCCTTGCGATTTGTGGTGAACACAATGATTCTCTCCTCTCCACAGGTTGACCACAATCCGTCAATGAAGTTCAATAGACCAGAGAGGGTAATCTGTAAATTAAGAAAGAAAGACATTAAGGTGAATTATATGATATATATTTTCTATACAGGCAATGTTAGGGGAGGGGGTGAAACATGGGAGTAGTGAGCTTATATTACCTTGTCGTCTTCAACAGTTTTGGGTTCATTCTCAGCATCCCTGTTTTGCAACTCAACTGAACAATCTATATCCTCGATGACCAATATGGATCGGCTCTTGGTGCCAATCAACAACCTTCTCAAATCAGAATTGCATTGAACTTCCTTCAAATCCAAGTCAAAAATATCAAATTTCAGATAATTAGCCATGGCTGCAACCAAGCTTGATTTACCAGTGCCGGGCGGTCCAAACAGCAAGTACCCGCGTTTCCAAGCCTTGCCTACTCTCCTATAATACTCCTTCCTCTCTCTGAACCGATCAAGGTCCTCAATCAACGCCTTCTTAATCTCCGGTTCCATCGCCATGGTATCGAAAGTCGCCGGATGATCGAGGTTTATGGAACCCCAATAGTCAGTGCCGTTATAGTCGACTGTGTGGAGCTTCACCACTTTTCTCTCCTCTTTGATTTCTTTGGACTTGTTCAGAATGTAGGGCAAGTAAGAGCTGAGCACCATGTCCCTGTGCTTCTTATGGAAGCTGAGCTCCAACTGTCGAACCTCGGACTGTGAATGATCCTCACGTTTGCCATTGGAGGCTGGTTTTTGGCTGCTGACCAAAACCCACTTGAAGTTGACGCCTTTGAAACAATCAACCAGCCCTTGGTTCTTGTCTATAGTGACCAGCAACTGCTTCTCCTTTTCGGGCTTGTTGACTTTGATTCGTCGCGTAGAGGTAGAGAGCAGGGTGCCCAGATAGAGGTTGGCCGCCTCGAACATTTCGTTCGGCGTCAGGCCGTCCAGCTCTTCCACGACGACGGTGATTTGGGACGACAGCTTTTGGAGGCGCGAGTAGAAGGAATTTTGGACGACATCGGGGATGAGGTCGTTTGCAATCGTTCGGAATAGAATTGCCGATGCGGCGAGTGATGCCGCCGCTGATAGAATGGTTTTCGGGGAGGGTAGATTTTCCTGTGAGCACCACATTCTTCTAATTTAGTGATGATATTGAGATGCGGCTGATAACGATGATGCGATGGTTTTTGTAGGGTTTTATCTTCGGGTTTGCTTGGTGAGAAAGACAATCAATAACAAGAAAGTTGGGATACTACTACCTGAGAGGAAAGATTCAAGTTTAGGTCGGTCGTTTCTCCACGTATGTCTTGCGACTTTATTTTATTACTTTTTTCTTTTCTCCATTGACACCTGGTTTTTTAAGTGAAATTATTTTCTACGAAATTCAATCCAATCTAATCCAATGAAAAAATTCAATCCAACTTAATCCAAATTGTAATTAGTTTAACAACTTTGGTTGCTGGTAGACATTTGTCATTTAAGAAATTAATTTTAAACAATTTAAATTATCTTTTGAAATTAAGTTTAGAAATCTCGCTCGAAATCTATTTTTTTGCTTTTGCCAACCTCGCTCAAAATCTATCAACACGAAGAACAAAACAAAAGCCATACCATGCTTAAGAAAAAAATGACGTGGCCTACTTTTAACCATCAAATATTTTTTTTTAAAGAAATGGACGGCTGAGATTAGTATATACAAGGATAGACGAGTATAGAAAGTTAGAAACCCCCCAAAAACAATTAGATCCCGTTTGGTATATTTCTCAGATTCGACCGCAGCTCCCATTTCCAAAACAAAACCCGACTCGATTACTCTCTTCAACCTGAAGAAAATCTCAAATACGAACCCTAGCCCTAAGCCACCAATCTGACTTGGAGTTCAGTCCTCTACATCATTGATGCGTTTGGTCTCCAGTTCGTTCGTCGTCCTCGCACTATCCTCTACTCTTCTCGCTAGGGTTTCAATTTCGTCGCCGAACAGCCACAGGATCGGTTCCTATTTATTGAAATTTTGTGAGTTCTTCAACCTCTAGAAAATCTCCAATCCTAACCCTAACTCACCAATCTAAAACGGAGTTCAGAATAACCTTTATGCTTTTAGTCGTTAATTCGTTCTTGGATGCAAGAAAGAAGACAACGAAGACTTGGGAGATGAAAAGTCGTGCTCAGAGAACGACCTTCGCATGATGAGAAGCACATGCTTATTCATTACGTAGCTGCCAGGGAATCCGAATATCTACAGGTGAAAGTCTGAATTTGAGGCTTTTGAATTGATTGGCTTTCTCTTCCTTTGTTATTTCAACTTCTTACTGCGACTCAAAAGGTTATCTATCATTTGCTAGGTTGGCGATGTGGTTTTGTTCGTGTGCAATTCCTCAGTTGACTGCGGCGGATCGAGACAATTGGCAGGGTGCAGTGCACATTGGTAAAATTTCTGGACATTTATCTTTTCTGACTAAATATGTGTGGACAATTTTTTATTTTTTTATTTTATGTACCTTGTAATCCATAGTTGGCATGACCCATTCGATCTTATTTCATGGGAATAGGCATGCTTGATTCATTATCAGTAGTGTGGGAGAAGTGGCCAGATGCTTCACATAATTGCTTATGTGACGCTTGTGTTGTGCGGAAGCGTCAACCAACGGTGAGTGAAAAATAAACAACTAGCAAGAGATAAAAACAACAAAATAACACTAACAAGAATACTAAGATTTATACTGGTTCAGCAATGCCTACATCTAGTTTGGAGACGACGGAGTATTCCACTATAATCAATGAGAACATACAATAGTGTTTGTTACTCAATTTCTCAAAGACTCAAATAGCCCAAGCTCACACATTCACAATAGGAAGAGAAAACCAAAAATACAAAGCAAAGAACAATTTGAGAATTTTCTTCTTTGCCGAATGGCTTCTTGCTATTTTTCTCTCCCTCACTTTTGGTGCAGCAGCTTCTCTTCTCGATCTCTTTCAGCTGCTGCCATGCTTCTCCTTTTATAGAGAAGCCAACGGGTGAAGGCCAACTACTTCAGTTATGAGGCTAGCTATGAAGTCAAAACAGCCAACTATATTTGCATGGCTTTGTCTCCCACATGCAGCTGGCCAATTAATGCATTCTCATTGCAATTTGTTTGCCAATCAACCAACTACTAATTTAAGTAGGCAACAGCAACTTTGCACGTAAGTGCAATCTTGAGTCAAATAGTCAACAAATGGTATCAGAGCATTAGTTTTTCGATTGGGGTTTCATATGAGTGACAAATTCACTGGAGCTACAGTGGCATGAATAGTATTATGCTACAGTTCATGACTAGTGTCGGCGTTACAGTTCCCCGTGAACAATGAACTGCTACAATACTGTGAATAATAGTTGTGCTACAGTAGCCGTGAATAGTGTCAAGTGAATTTGATGGCTGGAGATAAAGATGAATCTGTGAAGGAGAAGGAGTCGGCATCGTCTTTGTCGGCACCTAGTAGACATCCAATTGCTACTACAAGGTTAGAAGTTGATAAATTCAGTGGCTCTAATAATTTTGGTATGTAGTAATGTGAAGTTATGGATGTATTGTATCAACAAGAGCTGGATATGATTTTGGAGGATAAACTCGAAGATATTGATGACAAGCAGTGGACACGAATTAATCTTCATGCTTGTGCCTCTATTCAATCGTTCATTGTTAAAGAGTTGAAATACTCATATATGAAGGAAACTTATGCTAAGAAGTTATGGATGAAATTGGAGGATAAGTATATGACTAAGAGAGCAGAAAATCATTGTTAAAGAGTTGAAATACTCTTCTGATTTTCAGTATCGTTCAAGTATTTTTATGCACTAACACCTCAATTATTATAATAAAATACTTGCTGATTTAGCAAACATTGATGTGGAAATTCCTGATGAGGATAAGGCACTATGTTTGTTAAATTCATTGCCTGATGATTATGATTATTTGACAACTACTTTGCTGTATGGAAAATGCGAGGTGAAACTTGATGAGGTGTCTACGGCATTGGTGAATCATGAGTGTCGCAAGAAGGAACAGAAGACTCAAATTCACAAATTGAGGCACTCGTTGCAAGAGGTCGAACAGAGGAAAGAAAATCTGGGAAGCGGGGAAAATAAAGTCACGAGGGAAGTTTCCTGCTAAAGACGAATGTGCCTTTTATCGCCAGAAGGGTCATTGGAAGAAAGACTATCCCAAATTGAAGAACAAAGAGAGAGAGAAAGCGGGTTCTGAAGCAAATATTGTAAAATATGAGGATGATGATTTTGAGTTTGCTTTGGCTAGTTCATCTGCTGATGATCACTCCAATAGGTGGATTTAGGATTCAGATTGCACCTATCATATGTGTCCCATTCGGGAATGGTTTTCTAGCTTCCAGGAGCTAGATGATAGAGTTGTTTTGATAGGCAATAATAATGCATGCAAAACGCAAGGGATAAGCAAAATCCATTTGAAGATGCATGATGGAACAATAAGAGAATTGAGTGATGTTAGTACGTACCGGATATGAAGAAGAATCTCATCTCATTGGGCCCTTTGGAATCCAAGGGTCTCAAGATCACCATGGAGGGTGGAGTTCTTAAAGTTGTGTACGAGACACTGGTGGTGATAAAAGGTACAATGCGAAATAACTTTTATTTTTTGCCGGGGAGTACAATTATTGGTGGAGCCGCTGTCACGGAAGCTGCTGATGCATATAACAGACACCATAAGGTTATGACATATGTGTCTTGGGCATGCTGGTGAAAAAGCATTGCAAGGATTGGTGAAGCAAGGCTTATTGAAATGTGCAAAGGCATGCAAATTGGAATTCTGTGAACACTGTGTGCTGGGTAAGCAAACTAGAGTGAAATTTGGCACTAGTATTCACCACACTAAAGGCATTCTAGATTATGTTCACACTGATATTTGGGGACCTTCTAAGAATGCATCTTGGGGAGATAGCCATTATTTTGTCACCTTTGTTGATGACTTCTCTAGAAGAATATGGGTGTACACCATGAAGCATAAAGATGAAGTCTTAAAGATATTCTTGAAGTGGAAAAGGATGATTGAAATGCAAAGAGGTTGAAAAATCAGGACTCTCAGATCAGATAATGGTGGTGAATATAAGTCTGATCCTTTCATGAAAATTTGTCAAGATGAGGGTATTGTGAGGCACTTCACGATTAGGGAGACACCGCAATAGAAGGGGGTGGCGGAGCGCATGAACTATACTGTCTAGTGTATGTTGTCTAATGTTGGTTTAGGTAAGGCGTTTTGGGATGAGGCGATTACTTATGTAAGTCATCTCATTAATTGATTGCATGCTGCTGTGAATGAGGGCAAAATGCCTATGGAGGTATGGTTTGGTAAACCTTGGACTGATTACAAGAATTTACACATATTTAGTTATCCTGCTTACTATCATGTCAGGGAAAGCAAGTTGGATCTAAGAGCAAAGAAAGCTTTATTTATGGGATTTAGCACTGGCGTGAAAGGGATACCGACTCTGGTGTCCAGATGAGAAGAAATTTGTTGTAAGCAGAGATGTGACTTTTGATGAGGCTACTATGGTAAATCAAAACAAGCATGGAGGTGAAACTGAAGGGACCAAAACCATGAGTAGTTCAAAGCAGATGAAAGTACTAAAGACTCCAATTGTTCCAGTAAGGTCTGATGTTATATACACTACTCCTACAGTTGATTCTAATGATGACAACGAGGATCATGAAGATGAGGTATCCACCCAAGAGCCTTCATAGCAACAAGATTTTATTGCAACCAGAAGATCAAGAAGGGAAATTCGAAAGCCTGCTCGGTTTACTGATATTATGGTATATGCACTTCCCGTTATTGAAAATGATACCTACAAAGAAGTTGTTAGAAGTTCAGAGAGCGTGAAGTGGAAGAAATCTATGGATGAGGAGATAAAATCTCTTCATAGCGAACTGTTGCACAACATTATTCACGCCACTGTAGCTCCATTGAATTTTTCACTCATACAAAATTCCAGTCGAAAAACTGGTGCTCTGATACCACTTGTTGACTATTTGACTCAAGATTGCACCCATGTGCAGAGTTGCTGTTGACTACTTAAATTAGTAGTTGGTTGATCGGCAAAAAAATTGCAATGGGAATGCATTAATTGGCCAGCTGCATGTAGGAGACAAAGCCATGCAAATATGGTTGGCTGTTTTGACTTCATAGCTGGCCTCATAACTGAAGTAGTTGGCCTTCACCCGTTGGCTTCTCTATGAAAGGAGAAGCATGACAGTAGTTGAAAGAGATGGAGAAAAGAAGCTGTTGCACCAAAAGTGTGAGAGAAAAAGAGTAAGAAGCCATTCGGTAGAGAGAAGAAAATTCTTAAATTGTTCTTTGCTTTGTATTTTTGGTTTTCTCTTCCTATTATAAGTGTGTGAGCTTGGGCTATTTAGGTCTTTGGAAAATTGAGTGATAAACACTATTGTATGTTCTCATTGATTATAATGGAATACTCTGTCGTCTTCAAACTGGATGTAGGCATTGCCGAACCAGTATAAATCTTGGTGTTCTTATAGGTGTTGTTTTGTTCTTTTGATCTCTTGCCAGTTATTTATTTTTCACTCGCAACAACTTGATGCATTATCAGTAGCGTGGGACAAGGCATGGCCGGATGATCACAAAAGCACTTATCTGAAGCATCTTTCTGACTCAACCGAGGTCGGATGGTGCTGGAAATTGCGTTGGAAGTGGCAGTGCCATTGTTCACGCGTGAAGAAAGAGAGTGAGAATTTGTGAGGAAATGAGAAACCACCAGGAAAAAAAAAATGATCTGGTACTAAATTGGGACTTAGCAAAAATTACGGTTGTGCAATTGCATTTATGTAGATCATAACTTCATCGTTTTAAATCATAATTGAGCATGCCGCCTATCTACGAACTGATATCAATAAGCTCTACATAATTGAGTTATTTAATTCTCCAAAATCCTTTCGGAACAAAAAAGTGACTAAAGTGCCCTTACCCCCAATGGTCCCAAATAATTCATTTACTTATTTATTTGTGAAATTATGTTTTTGCCCTCGAGAGTAAGGATACTTTAGTAACTTTTTGTTCGGAAATGAATCTGGGGAATTGAGTAGCACCATTGCGTAGAGCTCATTGATACGAGTTCGTAAGCAGGCGACATGCTCAATTTTGATTAAAAAAAGAAGTTACAATTTACGGATGTGTAATGGCATAACCGTAATTTTTGCGAGGTCACAATTTAAGTAGCAGCTTGACCCAAAAAAAAAAAAAAAAAGTAGCAGATCAGATTCTTTTTTCTGAAATTTCTCTCCCCTCTCTCGCAATTTTTTTCTCGTCTCTTTCTCCCCACGCGTAAATAGTAACCCCACTGCTTACCATTCAAATTTTGGAGTAGTTTGACCTCTGTTGCCGTCGCAACCTTCATGAAAACTCTTCCTTTCGTCCTCCTTTAGAAAACCTAGCCAAGGCTTGATCGGATTCACTTCTGATGAGCTGGATTCGACAACGAGAAGAACTTATGTTTTTCTTGTAGTGTTTGTGCTTTTTCCTGCTACTCCAGTCGTCGTTTTCGTCGCGTGATGTATGGTTTTTCATCCTTTTTCCGTGTTGTATCTGTTTATGTAGGTGGTATAGATCGGTTCTGAAGTTAGTCCTATTGTTAGTCTGAATGTTTTGGTATAAGTATTGCCTATTATTGTTGAGATTTTTGGTCGTCGAAAATTACTCAAGCTACCCACCGCGAGGACCCATCGTGATGGCCCATTTTAGTCCTAAACTATTTCTCCCATTGTCCCGAGCACGACTGCATACTCATATTTGAAATTGACTACTGTTTGACTATTGAACGGATATTACGCCTATTATGTGATATCTGGGTTCGATAGGTTCAGGTTGTAGGATCGTTTCCCTAATTCAATTTTGTCATTTGCAACAATATTAGGGACGTTGCCCTAGGTTTTTGCACGCACTTTGAATTCCGAGAAGTTAAGTTTCGATTTGATTCATATGTTAATATTATGATTGTATTCTTTTAATAGGTACTCAGTCGGAATGACCCTTAAAGGGTTGAGTTTGCTTCGGATTAGTTGTGAGTGTACTTTGTTTTCATATGTACATTATTTTCGTATTGTCAAGTGCGTGCATAACTATGTTTTGGTTGGGTTTGAAATGTGATTTAATGGAATTGGATGTTGTGGAGTTTTCAATGGCTTTATGTTGTACTTTACTGGCGCATAAAGGAAATTGGGTATTATTCTTATGATTATAAACATGTGGTTTGAGATATTTGAACTCCACATGGCTAATTGCTTTGTTTTGATATTCATAAATCACCATATACCAGATTGATAGCTTCAATAATTGCATGAAAACAATAATATTATTATTCATTTGGAAACCCCCAAGCGAGTTATAAAAATAATCGGAGTATGAAAAGTACCACTGAATATTGTGAGTAGAATTGTATTTACTCTTGTGGTGTTTACACTGACAGAATTTTCTCTCAGTTAGAATTCACTAACTCTCAGATTTCTCACTCTCTTTTCCTCTCTCAGCTCAGTGTGTTATCACTTCTCACTGTCTTGCAATGAAGAGGTGAAGCCTTTAAATAGGCTGAAGCACCCGTGATGTTCGGTTAGTTCCAAGCACCCGTAATACATATTATAGGACTTGTATAGTATAAGAAGCAAGAACGTTAGGTAATTAAATGTGATTAGATTTTTCTAGCAGATCAATGAAATGCTTGCCAGAAGAATAAATATGAATTTTCTTATATTTTAGTTGCTTAAACCCATTTTTATCAACTCGTAATATATATAAAAAATTGCGACTAGTTTAGACCATCCATGAATTTCGAAAAAGTTAATAATTGGACGCCACAATTTGTTTACAAATTCCATTTGGATGTACTCATGCGCCTTTAAATGGGCCAATTGTGTCGCTTATTGCTCCTACGTGGGCCCACTTTGTCTTTTTTGGACTCTTTTGTGGACTTATTTTGTCGTTTATGGCCTTATGTTGGGCCTATTTTGTCGTTTATAGCCTATATTGGGCTAATTTTCTTCTATGGAAATTTCTTTGGGCTTGTATCGTTTACTGGTTCAGATTGGGCTTTTTTGTCTTTTATGAACCCTTAATTGGGTATATTTTGTCATTTTTGGATCACTAGTGGATTTATTTTGTAATTTATGAGCCCTTAAGTGGCCTATTTTGTCGTTTTGAACCATTGATTGGGCCTATTTTGTAGTTTATGAAGCCTTTATGGATCTATTTTGTCGTTTATGAACTCTTCATTTGTCATATTTTGTCGTTTACTGTCCCTTCAGCGGGCCTATTTTGTCGTTTACGGGCCTGTGATAGACTATTTTGTGGTTTCTAGGCCATGGGCTTATTTTGTCATTCTTGGGGCTTTAGTGGCCCTATTTTGTCATCTATGGGCCTTTAGGGGCCCATTATGGATCGATTTTGACCATTCAATGGACCAATTTTGTTATTAATAGACGAGCTGAGTTTATCTCTAATGGGCCACACTGTATGCTGACCCTAGTTAATATGAGATGCTATAATGAGAAGTTTAAAATGAAGAGGCTATTTGAGAAGGTCAATGTAGGCACGTTTATAAATAACGATCATAAAGGGAACAAGGGACAGAAAAGATGTTCCACAGCAGTTCCATTATCTTGAACGGCTGAAAATAATTATGCTTGTGACATGGGGGAGGGGAATGAGACAGATCATTCATAAGATATACCTTTAAATTGGTGAATCAAGGTGTTCATTCGATTCAATCACCACTGTTCGATTCAATTCTTTTTTGGTCCGAAACACTAATGAATCTCTAGTTAAAGGATTCTGCTATCCAGCACACTATTCTTTACAAAATGCATAGTATGTTCTATATAATTAATCAAGTAAAGTCCAATAACACTAATGCATTTTTAAAAAAGTTTGAACAAGTAATGGCTTCGCTGTTGCCAATGTTTGCTTCAGATACGCATCACCATAAAAATTAAAATAACAGAGATGTTTGTAAAGCAAGCATCAACAATTCTCTTGCAATTGATGAAATCAAGACAAATACTGCATCACAGTCAAATTTCTAATGCATATTCATCAGTCCTAACATATGACAATTTTTATCGTTCACTTCTCCTATTAAGAACTCTATTGAAAAATGGCTAATGGTTAACAAATTTGAACTCTAAAAAATTTAGGCCCAAAGAAAGCTTCTCATATAAAAAAGCAGATCACAGTCATAGTGAAAGTAAGAAATGTCAAATAAGCAGGCAACAGTACCAAGTGAAACCTACATGATAATAAAGGCCAGTTCAATAATTAAAACCTACATGATAATATGTGCCCTTGACAATGCCCCATCCCTAGGCCACCGGCATGACTGCATATGCACTCAGAAACGCCGTGGTCCTCGTCTGAAACTCTACCGGAAAAATCACTGACTTCGACATCAACACGTTTCGCTTCTTCAAGATGAAGTCGAGATCGAAACCCTAACTTAAACCCCGTCAGTCACCTCACTCTATTGGAAGAAAACTCCTGAAACAAGCGACCGCAGCAGTGGGGGAGCCAGGAATCTTACCACAAGGGGTCTTAGTGTAAAAGTCCCAATAAAAATTTAGGATGGAAAAAAATTGAAACTGAAATCATAGTACTTTCATTCATAATTCATATCGGAAACAGCATTACAAGCTACAATTGTCCACGACGAGGTTTCGTATTTTGAAAACGTAACTTTGTAGCTTCATTTTCAATACAAGAAAAAATATCTCTCTCAATATAAACAATCAAGTTATCACTCAACTATTGATCTCCCGTTTTGTTCCGAAGTGGTCCCTTAATAATATTTATGACGAAAAATGTCATTTCCATTGAAGCAGTTGCAACCGGTAAAATTAAAGACAATGTAATAAACAAATGCACATAATTGAATACTTGATGCATCCTTATCTCCACCATTTTCTTTGCAAGATCACCAATCCCTTCCAATTGAGAGAAATCACTACTCGAACGCACATAATGAATATAAATCTCAAGTTGATCTTCAAGTGCTAAACGATCTTCATCCGAAAAGTCTTGAGGATAAAATTGAGCAAGACGAAGTAGCTTTAGTTTATCAAAAGCTATAAATGAATCTTTCAGACTCAAACATGCCAAACAAATAAGCAACTCGGTATTTACCTCATTAAAGCGATTATCTAACTCTGTAATTTGCTCATCAATGACATAAATAAAGAGCTCCACACGCTAATGATGACGATTTGTCTTTATTGGAGCATTATGCCTTGACTTCCCTGGAAGTATAAATGCCTCTTCTATGTTAGGAACATCAATATGATGTTTCTCATAAAAAGAAGATACTTCATTAACCAATGCATCGAACCCATTATTCCTCATCCAATGTAGCTTTTTCCTTGCATGATTTCACTAAAGCCATTGTATTCAGAATTTATTTATCTTTCCTTTGCAATGCTTGTGACATGAAACACAAACTCAAAAGTATGTATTTCTCTCATTAAATTATTTGCTTCACCCGCACTGTCATTAGGATTATCATTAATAACCATTTGAAGCACATGAACCACGGATGAAAACATAGAAGTGATGCTAATCAAGGTGCCATAGTGTGAGTTTCATCGTGTGTCACCGACGCATTTGACACTTGTTTCTTGATTTAAGCTTCGCCTCGTTATAAGACAATCATCAATCATTTATAAAAGCTATCACAAGCTCTTCTTGGAGTTGCCCTTTAAGTAAATCACGTCGCTTATAAGATGCTCCAACATGATTAACCATACTATTAGCCGTTGCAAAAAAGAGAAGCAATGTCTACATTTTTCCTTGTCACAGCAACAATAGCTAGTTGAAGTTGATGAGCAAAGCAATAAACATAATATGCACAAAGTTGTTTTCTCAATATCTTTATAACAATATCTTTATTTTAAGGTCATTCAACTCACCTCTCATATTGCTAGCACCATCATAACCTTATCTTCGTAGATGAAGTTGGAGTTGGAGTTGAGGGTTTAGGGGAAGGGGGACTGAGTTGGGAACTTATGGTTGGAGGAGAAAACAAAAAAATGTGGGGGTTTTAGAATGAAGGTAATGGTGTTGCTGGAGAGAAAGGATATGCTGGGCATTTTTAATTTTTTTTTTTAATTTCAGACCTGGCCCAAAACGACGTTGTTTTGCCCAAGTTGTTTATAAAATAAAAAATAAAAAAAAGACTCGCACACACAACCTTCTTCTTCAGGTCGCACAGCCTTCTTCTTTAGTCGAGCACTTGGTGTTCAGCTCCAAGAGGTAGCACCAGCAGCTCTAAGGAAGCTCTAAGCTTTTTTACTTGGCTTCTAAGAGGTCGTGCAACCCCACTAACCCTACTATGGCTCCGCCACTGGACCGCAGCGAGTCCATCGCGACCTTCACCAAATTTGGAAACCTTAATTAGGTTGTCGAGGGCGAGTTGGTTATCGCCCCACGAACCGAAGAAATTAGTGATTGTTGATCGGCAATTTGATATAGTTCCTGTGACTGAGAATCGAAGCAAATACTGGTTTCTTTCTCTCTTGGCATTGGTGATAAGGTTGGAGAGACGACAATCTCTTTTACGAAAGAATGGCCATACACAACGATCTGGTTGGATCTGATCATCAGACATTTTCTAGGGTTAGAGATTCGGAGAATGATGAGTTGCTTAAAATTAAGAAATAAATAAGAAATGTGGTTGGCTTTGGCGCTTTATTTTGTTTTCCGTGGACGGAGAATAAGAAATGTGGTTGGCTCTGCAAAATGCACGGTTTGCACTTTTGTAGTTGATGGAGGAAAATGATGTTGGGCTTCAGGCCTGGCAGTTGGACCTTAGGGCCCATGAATGCGTTGTCGAGTTTTTATTTATTTATTGGAATTATGTCAATTACGAGGGATGTATGTGGAATTTAAATTTGTGAATAAAGGAAATTGATTTATTTCAATGTAAAAGGTTTTTATTAGCTGTCTGAAAGTGAACAAAATCTAGAACGTAATGTTCCATAGTCATTTTCCTCCAAAACGAAAACAACCCTTGGAATTGGAAGGGAAGAGCTTGGCATTGATTTTGTGAACAAGACGGATGCTTACCTTTGATTATTATTTTGAGGTATACCCCCATACTTCATTTGTATACATCAAATCAAGTGCCCAGCAGTCCATATACCAAAACACCAATCATCATTTTGTCGGAAATCTTCACACAAATGTGTGTTTTGCTGAGTTAACGTCAGTTAAATTCATCCATCACTTGACAAAGACTTAGTTGTTGACCATTCACAACCCTAATGCTCGTAAGCCTAGATAGAGAGAGAGAAAAAAAAAGTGTCTTTGTTTGTTGAAATATTAATTAAAACTCCTTGGTTTTTAATTTGTATTACACGAGAGAAATATATTATCTGTTTCTCTTTAAAAAAAAATACAAAAACAAAAATACTTTTCAACGAAACATCTGAACACATCCAATTAATTCCATGTTTCAGCTGTAACGGTGGCTACTACAATGAATATTTAGTACTTGCTATTGTAATTTACTGTATGCAGCAAAATGCTGCAGAAATATGGTCGCTTTTGTTAATCCATCTAAACACAGAACAAAATTACCAGCCATGGCTTTTCATATGCCTGAAGATCTGTTGTCCAACTCACTAAATAAACCAACAACTATCGCAATCTGACCAAATACTGCAGAATATATACGACTGGAAAATTCACCATAACACCATCAGCTGAAAGACAGGTTTTCATTGACAACCAAAGCCTCTTTTTCTCTATTATTAACTCAGAAATGAGTGAGTTTAACATGAAATACAACTGGGTATTATTCATACAAGTTTCAGGATGATACATTATGGAACAGTAATTACATTATGGAACAATAATTGTAACGATCTTCAGCAATCACATACCAGACATCGCATCTCTGACATGTCTTTGGTGGGTAAGGGACAAGGTCTTTCTTCTCATCCCACTTCTCATCCTTCTTCTCACACTTTGGAGGACCTATACTCACAACGGAAGCAGATCTTCTGTATTTTCTTACCTTCTTGATAACCTGTACTGGATCGGCATCCCCAGTTACTGTCACCGTATTTTTTGACGGGTCCAGGACAATGGAAGTTATCCCTTCTACCGTTGCTATTAACTTCATCACCTTCTTCCTGCACTTTGAACACAGCAGTTCCACTGACACTACAGTTCTCTGCAACACAAGACAAAAGCAAAGGTCAGATTTTGTCCGTACTTGTGCGCTCAGAAAAATAATAAATTCCATCTGAAGTATTGCAGTGCGTGTCAGTGAAAGACTCCAGAGAAAATGGTATGTTAATAACTAATTACATAGCAGGAAAAATAAAACAGAGAGAGATGGAACCTTAGACATAATAAAGCAATAATGATAGAAAGCAAACTGGAACAAGCAATAATAACAAAGAAAGAATGGATCCAAAGATGCTATATATAAAATGCTCTCTCTCTCTCTCTCTCTCTCTCTATTTAGTTTGATTATGTTTTCAGCACAGAACTTTCTTGGCAAAGAAGCTGGTTGAGTACAAAATGACAGTGTCAGTAGTTGGCTAGAAGTAAATGCCAGTCGGAAGGGTTTTTAATTGGGTCACCTATGCCCTCCGATATGCAATAAATGCAGAATTTACCATGTGCGGGCACACACGCATCCCATACTAGGCTAAAACACACCTTTCTACATCCTCTTTATCTTGAAAGAAATGAAACCGTTTATAGCAAAGTTAAAATGATGCTGGCCTGTTTTTACCAAAAAAAAAAATGATGCTGGCCTGCCTGATTCTGAATGTACTACAATTTTTTGGAAAAAGAAAAAAAAACAGAGAACAATCTAACAAGCTTGCCCATTCGCCTGTTTGTACATACAGGCGTGTCAGCTTATAGCAAATTTTACTAGGAGTAAATATGCTGATTGACTGAATAAAACAAGGATTTTGAACAAACCAACAAATGAGGTTTTAGCTCAGCATGTCTCCAAGAAAATAACATTACGCAATGTGTTGGGATATAGTAATGGCAATCACTTTATCAATGCAGCTCTAGCGGGGTCAGTTGAATGGGCAAAATTGACCCACTTCTGGAACGTATTAATTCTTTCTTCTCCGTACTTGAATCATCAACTTTAACAGGATTAGATCCACACACACAAACACAGAGAGAGAGAGAGAGAGAGAGAGAGAGAGAGAGAGTTATAGACAGCTCAGGAGGTCATTGTTCAGCACATGATGTAGCCAACCCACGGCCTTTATATTCCACATATAAAGCTGATCAAAATACCAAAGCTGAACTACCAGAGTTCACAGAGCCTTCCATATTAGTCTTACCGCTGGTCTAGAAACATGTCTCAGCATCAGGCTCATTGATTCTTCCAAATCATTTCTTTTGAATGTTCGTGGTTTAGCAATGTAGTTACAAAAAAGAACTCCAAATCACACTTTGTACATCAGACAGAAGTGGAAAATGTCATAAGTTACTGCTAAAAACTAAATGTGTTTGGTTCCATTGTTCAAAACTGTAAGAACCTTATGTTTACCTGACAATTTATTAAAGGATATCAAAATATAAATCTGCACCAATAATGGAAAACTTGAAAAATATGAAGAACCATAAGGAAGCATAAAGTAAGCGCAAAAAGAATTTTGATGAGAAAACTGAAATTTAGATTAATGCCTATGCAAGAAATCGTTTCTTCAAACTAAGATAATTCATTGCTTCCCTAAAATACCGTTGCTAAAGCAGACGCATTTTCAATTAGAAAATACCAAGGATGCCCTGGTCTTTTTTTCTTCTTTTCTATAGTAGTACTAATACCACAATGTGAAAATCCAACTGTCTGAATTAATAGGCCATGTGGGCTTTGATGGAATCACACTGAAGTTAGTTGATACATCACTTTCCCTGCAGAGCCCAGAAATTATGTTTCATCAGTTTCTCCTCATTTCCAATTAAACTTCTCAAACTTATAAGGAGGAGTTTTGTCGCACTCCCTACTTCCCTCGTTAGTCTTCATTAACTTTATTAACAACATGAAACACTGATTTACGTGCCTCTACAAAACTATGTAAGGACTAAAGCAGCATGCCGTGTTTATGCTAATACAATTAGAAAGTGGCAGTAAATATGCATAACTCAATCTAAATTTGCCTCCTAATGAATGGGTAAATTCATACAAAATTATGAGATGCCCACGAACATTTGCAGACTTACAGAATAAAAATTCCCATAGCTTAATCTATTCTACAAAAGAAAATTTTCATGGACTGATGATGCATGCAGCGGCAGTCCAGGATATATTTCAAAACAGTTATTAAAAAAGAAAAAAATAACAAAGAAAAGAATTTCATCATTCTTCAAAACAAACGAAGAACCAAACACCACATGCATACACTAAGATAAAGCTTATATATGATAAATCATAGGCACAAAGAAGAGAAGGGGAAGAGGGATGGGAATAACTTGCTTATGTTACTAACCTTACAAATCAAAAACTTCATAGAAACAAAGGAAACAAAGAAATAATAGCTAAAAGCCAAGAAGTATACAAACAAATACAGCTATTAACAACAACAATTTACAGAAAATACTATATATCAACCCACTTGCACTTACTCATAATTTGAAGTAAAGTATCCCCCATGGCACTGTAACAAATCTCAATTTGCAGTTTTAAGAGCCATTGTGCTTGTATTTTTCTTTTGTCTTTCCTCAGTTTCCACCATTCGATTGTAGTAGGTTACTATTTTTTTGTCCAACTCATAATATTCTTCCATTTTCTTCAATTGTTTCAAATCCAGGTCAATGAAATTCACCTAGGAAAATGCAACTCAAATAAGATATTAATGTCATAAGGAAGGATTTCCCCCACAGGGAATTTCACCTAGGAAAATGCAACTCAAATAAGATATATTCATGCTCCAGCTGTTAAGAAATGGTATTAGATTACGAGAAGAAAATCTGTAAAGAATGAAAATATAAACACTTAAGGGAATTGAGCATCCAAATGCTGTGATTGAAAGATGCTATGGTATCAGTCAGAATGAAATGATAAGGAGATCTGTACCTTGTAATCAAAAAATTGGTTGCTTGATTCTAGATACAAATTATTATATGGAGATCCTGTATTCCCATCTTTCCTTGGTCTAAAACTAATCATCAAACTGCAGTCCTTCGCAGTAGCAGCTATCAAAAAGTCCTTCACAATCTTCAAGCTTTCATCCAAAGAGATGGAATGCAATGAAAGATATCTCTGTGACATTTTTTCTTTACCGAATGCTCTGCATACCATGCAAGGCTCTGAAACAATGTCATAATACGCATGGATAGCCCCATCAATGTCAAGGTTATCAAGTTTCTGGACCTCAAGGAGCCGATCCAACACTCCAGAATTATGAACTGTTTCAGCAACAAGCTGTAGAAAACTCATTGTGCGCAAGCCATCACCTCCCTGAATGACACACTTGAGTGCATCTTCAAATTTTCCTCGAGTCACAAAATTGGTACTGTCTGCACCACCACCTAAACCCCCAAATATTTGAGAACCATTCAAGAACACACGGAAGTTATTCTGCGGGGTTGAGAAGAGATCCCTGATAGCTTTATGTATTCTGTCCTTGGATCCAGAGAACATATCAAGTGGATTATATTCACTATATTCTGATACCTGTAACACAGGTTTAGACAAATCCAAGCCAGATTTAACATTGACATTTAGTATTACTACAAAATAGGACTCTCTTTGCTGAAATTTGTGCGCAGAAGTTCTAAGAAGAATTAGATGAGATGGAATTCCCATTGAACATATGGAACTCATTTGCCTGATTTCCGGGTAGTAAATAATTTGACCAAGAGAAGAACATAGTAAAAGCACACCTCTCCTTGATGCAACTTCAGAGCTTGATGCATCTGAAAACGAGTAATGCTCCGTTTAATGGCATTTCCTTCATCAATGAACTTTGAAGATGGCAGAAATCCACATTTTGGCTATTTTTGGAAACAATTGAAAAGAAAAAAGGAATAACTAAATATATTTCAAGGGTATTACTCATGTGAAGACAACAAGAAAAAAGTTTACATGACAAGCATAAAATAGAAACGAAGAACACAAACATGGAAAAGCACCTTTATCTCCACAGATATACAGGGTTCAACTTCATGAGTACCTGAAATGAATAAAGAAGAATAAACCATCACTCTTTGAAATTTATCAGAGCTTTTTCCTAAGGTCTCAAAAACAAAACAGAACAAAACAAAAAATAATACTTCTGATCATATCTATCACAAGACAATATTTAGAGAAATAGGTGCACCTAAATTTAATAAGATGCAAAGTTCCTATGATTCTAAGCAGAATGCTGCTAAGTCCAGGTTTCTCTCCCTGCTCCACTGAGTTTTTATGTAGGTGTGTGGATATTACCTCATATCTTTTACTAGAAAAGTAAAAGGCATGCAAAAAAAGAAACCGGGATCATAGGCTAGATTAAATAAGCCATCTGACTTTCGAACTACAAGTGCAGAAAAGACAGTTCTAAGTCTTTAAGTGCAGCACTAATTAAAATTGTAACTAACAGAGAGACACTAATTACCACGAGGAAAAAGAGAATGATCAGACATAAGAAGGACAGAATCACATTGTGTGTCAACTTTAGCGGCGTCAACTCGAGAAGCAGGACGCTGAGAAATTATGTTCTTCTCAACCGACTCCAAGAATTCCTTGGAAGCAAGGACACGCATCTGCCAAAATTCAAACTGAAGGTTAAAGAACTAAACCATTTTGTACATCTTACCACATGCATGCATGACTTCACGGGAAAACCGAATGCATACACTATATTGCTGAGTATGAGGATCTTTCAATCAACACTATTGTAGCTTTCCCTAATAAGAGAAAGCTTACCGTGTGACTCGGCATATGAAATCCATAATCACTGTCTTGGTTCCAGACATAGATACATACCCCATGTACAAATACAGCTCAACTAAAAAAATGCCTTAAAGCCCACCGTAACTATTTTAAAATGATACATACAACGTGGACATGGTTCCATTCAGCAAGCATCATGCATTAGTACAAGTGTGGATAGCTACATACCCCGGAATCAACGTATGTGGAACCCAATAGAGGGCTCATGATGTGCTTCACAAACAGTTGACAAGCGAGTTCTTTGTTAGAGGTAGCTACAATGTCCTCCGTGTCCTTCCACAGAAGACGTTCATGCACGGTTAATGCAGTGGGACTGTTCATGGACTTTGACCCATTAACTGGAGCTTTCTGTAGACGCATTACTTTCCCAATCTACAGAGAGCAAGGTACAATCATTATAAGCTTCAAACATGACCGATCATAATAAGGACCACACCTCGTCAACTACTAACACATTCTTTTAGATAAGTGCATAATTGAAGCTCAGGTGGTGTGTGTGTTTTGGAAACAATCAAACAAAGTATGAAACATACAAAAGCGGGGGTGGATCCGTTGTAACCGAGAACAAGATTGGCAGCGCCTTCGCCTCTGTAAATCCAATCACCAGCGTCTTTTTTCTCTAAAATGACTTCCATGTCTTGGTGTTGATTGAGATTCAGCTCCTCACAGTTACTGCACAAATGAACATTTTCAGTTTTTTTTTTCTTCTATCCAAAAACAAAAATTCTCAAAGCAAGATCGAAATTTGCAAGTACCCAATTGAGGAGATAAGATTTGCAAGAATCAGCTTGATCAAACAAACACATTGCAAGAATCAGGTGACACACCAAATACCGAAGTCGCAGAAAGATGATAATTTTATAGAAAAGACCTGAGGCTGAGAACGCAGACCAAAGAAAGTCGTTCCTAGTGGGAATCTTTGTTTGGGCTCGAACAATTTTTAATGGCTTATCACTCTGTCAGTGGCTTCACCTTTACCCTTTACCTTTGCAGCTTCACTTTCTGGATGCTAATTCCTTTCTGCGTAATCTTATTAATTATACCACAATTCTAGCACAAGCATGAGACAAGCAACCTAAACCCAAAACCCACTCCGGGAAATTAACAAAATTAAAACTAATTTTTTTAATTTTTATAAATAATAATAATAATAATAATTAAAGTTCATAAGAACAGGTCGATGGCGACAAGATATTGGGTCGTTCGGGTTACACACATAAGAAATTGCAGTTCGATCCACTTGTCATTCCGATTTAATTAATGGTTCTTGGCCCATTGGGCAGGCACCCAGAAGGCCTGCTGACTTTAATTACCTTTTGTTTCTTAAATTTCACCCATACAAAGATTATACCGGAGCCCGTATTCTTTAAATTTAAATGATGAACCGATTCCGATTTGAAGTTGAGATATCATGGACAAATTGGAGATGAATGTTCATTGAATTGTTGGGATTAGTTGAGATTCTTATATGCTCTATTTAGCTTTATTATTTTGTTCTAATTTTTGGTCACGCAATGGTTATCAAATCAGTCTCTACTTTTTTCTTTGAGCGAGTAAAGAAAGTATATGAGACCATGTTGCTGATGCAATCATAGGTTTCTGAATTTATTGAAGCCCAGATTACAAAGGAAATGTTGACAGCGAGCTACCTGGCCTATTAAGTCAAGGCAACATTTCCATTCCAGCTTGGAAAAAGCCACAAGATGGAGAAAGACTTTCATGCAACATTTTGCTATTCTTGGCTAATAATACAATGACATGTGAGATAACTTTTTTACGTGTCATTGTGTTATTAGTTGGGGATAGCAAAACAATGTTATCCTCGTTACATGTAAGGTTTTATGCACCTTGTTGATGCTCAAAATTGATGGCCAATATTGAGTCCAACTTAGTGATGAGGTATGATGGATGATGAGTGAAGGTGTGGTGGACCTTCAGCATGTATGTGAAGATTTGGATAAGTGATAAATATATAGAATACAAGATATATGTAGTTCACACTTAACGAATAAGCTACGTCTATGGAGAAGTCCATTCTCATTCTTATAATAATATGCATTTACATTTGTACAAGGAGTTTGGCCCGCATATAAATAGAAGAAGGGAGAAGCCAAAGACTAAAGATCAAGTCTAACCTAGTGATCCTTTCCTAAGAGAAGAGTGGTCTCTTTTATAGGTGAGGAGGCGTTTATACATCTTGTAATATTCCAGTGTAGGACTTTTGCCTTGCTTAGATTTATTTCTAATTACTTGATCGGATATGATATAAACACGTCTAATGGGTATGTGAAATTGAATTGTGATGGGGCATGGTTACGACAAACCATGAAAGGAGGTATAGGTTGGGCAATTCGAGGTAGAGTAGGGTGGATGCTCAAGACAGGAGGTATTGGAAGTCTGTTTTGTCAGTCAACTCTTATGATGGAAGCCGAAGCTACTCGTGATGCTTTGACATATGCCTCGAATGCGGATTTTGATCAAGCTATTGTGGAATCCGATTCACAGCAACTAATATAAATGCTTCAAGGAGTTATTCCTGTTGATGTTAAGATAGAAGGAATTATTTTTTACATCAAAACCTTGTCTCACAGTTTGGGTCGGTGAGCTTTGCTTTTATACTTCGGAAATGTAATGAAGCTGCTCACTTGGTTGCAGCTTTTGTGAGTCGAGTTAGGGGTACCTACTTTTGGGGCCTTTTATGGGCAGAGTGGCTCTTTGATGTCTTGGCTAAAGATATAAACCTTTCTATTCGCTTATAATAAACTTTCCTATGGTTTAATATAATATATATGAAATATTCTACCTATATTTGTCAACTTTGAAATCTATAACATGGAGAAATAGGAGGAGAAAAAGAAGAAGGAAAAGATAGTATATTGGGTGAATTCAATTTGATTTTTGTTTTCTTAAATTAGTTGTTAATTATTGTTGTACTATTATTTCATGTAAGAAGAGATAGATACGGACATAGTTGAAACTTTGCAAAACTGACTGAGAAATAGCCTTTTCTTTCATCAAATAAAAGGTGCACAATGCACAATGGGCTTCAATAGTTGAAGGTTGGAATTCTGCGTCAGCACTAGTATAGTAGATGGTAAATGCATGGTTGGAAATGCATGAACGACTCTTATTTTCTTATTTTTTTAAAGACTACGCGTACAACCATCATGGTCCCCTTTATGTGAAACATGGTCGTTACGTAAGTTCGAACAAAAATTGGTTCGCTACATTCTTGCCGACATCTCACAGATTTTGACTCTTCTATATTTCAAACCAAATAGATTAAGTTGGCTCGCGGATCACGAATTGTAACTACATTCTTGCCGACATCTCACAGATTATGACTCTTCTATATTTCAAATAAAAGAGGTTAAGTTGTTTCGGAATTCAATAAGTCCATATGAATCCCTATGATAAATTAATCAAAACTCTCAAATCATAATCATGTATATAAATAATACGGCCCGACTAAGTACTGGCCTGGCCAGGGCCACCTTTTTTTTTTTCCAACAAATGGTGAATATATTGTTGTTGCGTGCGGGGGCGGAGCTAGAATTGTAAAGTTGGGAGGGCCAAAGTAGAAAATACAAGTATATAAAACACTTCAGTATTCAATAATTATATGTTTAGAGCTAAATATTTCTAATTGAGTCATGTCTAATTTATTTTAGATGAAATTTTTACTTAAATTATAAGATGATTATGATTATTACAAATTTTATATGTTATATGTAATATAATAGAAGAGAGATAAAAATATGAAGGGGGCCAGAACCACTCGAGGCCTAGGAGTGGCTCTCCGGCACTGGTTGCGTGATATTTCAAAACTTCCATGAACGTCGTTATATATGTATAGTGGGTACTTTCTTGCACAGTAGAAGAATAACACGTTTGAGAATAAATGAGTCACATACAAATTGCAAAACGACTGAATATCACATGTACCATGTGCTTCTAATCTAATGTATTATTTGCAAACAAACCAAACTGGGGGAATTAATTAGGTATAAAATATCATGTGCATGGGACATAAGGTGCGATTCTTTTTTCCACTCATTTCGAAATCAATTTGACATTGCTTTCAAAAGAAAGGAAAACAAAAATCAATTTGATATTAGTTTGATCACTCTCATTAAGATCTTCATATATGTATTCTAATTAAGTATCGATTTGTTGCTTTTTATAATGCTTGTCCGAATTGCTCTTCGGACCATTTGGATGAAATGATTGACATTATAATCCATGTATGCCAAAACTAAAGGAAAATGGGTTTGAAATGAGGGAAATAAATGGATTCCAAATCATTGATTGCATATATCAATCTAATTTTATTTTATTTTTAATAGTTTTCTTTTTAATATTTTAACTAGCTCCATCTTATTTAATTGGTTTTCAAACGTATATGGATTGTATAAGGACCAGCTAGCTATTCATGCTACATATAGGCATAGATAGACCGACCATTCACTCTTTTGTGGTTTGAAATGAAAAGAGATGCAGGAAGGTTTTTGTCTGTTTTATTTTGGCCTAGGTTACCGTTTGACTTAGATATGTGGATCTGATCCTTCCCACGCACGACAGAACACAGTACGTAGTTACTATAACGTGTGGTTGTGGTGCGCGGTTCCATTTATATGTATCTCCAAGGAATGACTGGCAATGAATGGCAGAGTGGGTCTATATATAGAGCACAATTACCCCAAGATTTTGTATGAGACAGACAGACAGACAGACAGACAGAGACATGGAGGTGATGCAAATGCTTCACATGAACAAAGGGGTTGGCGAGACTAGTTATGCTCAAAACTCCAAAGTTCAGGTCCAAATTAAGATTATTCATCATGATTTTCTTCAATTAATAATTATATTCTAATTCAACATGTTAATTAATTTAATGTATACATATATATATATAAAATATTTTTATTATTTTGTAGCACAAAATAATTTCCACTGCAAAGCCAATTATTCATGACGCCGTACAAGAAATCTTGCGCTCAAATAATATAGAGAGCATGGGAATAGCAGATTTGGGCTGCTCATCTGGACCCAACACCTTATTGCTCATCTCCGAGATCATAGATGTCATCATACGCGCCAAAAGCTGCAGCCTCGGCCTCCACCTGTCAGCAACAACAGAGCTCAGAGTGTTCCTCAATGACCTCTTCAGCAATGACTTCAACACCATTTTTATGTCACTTCCTGCATTCTACAACAAACTCAAACAAGAGAAGGGTCCTGAGCTTGGATCTTTATTCATTTCTGCCACGCCTGGTTCGTTTTATGGGCGGTTGTTTCCGGCCAGGAGTTTACATTTTGTGCACGCTTCTTCTAGCCTTCACTGGCTGTCTCAGGTCCCTCCTGGCCTCGACAGCAAGGCAGCTGGCGAAGCTTTGAACAAAGGAAAGATCTACATATCCAAGACCAGCCCACAATGCGTTTTGGACGCATATGCGCTTCAGTTTCATAACGATTTTTCATTGTTTCTCAAGTCCCGCGCTGAAGAAATGGTTGATGGGGGACGAATGGTGTTGTCGCTCATGGGCAGGCCATCCTATGACCCCACAACTCCAGCCAGTTGCTACCAGTGGGAGCTTTTAGCCCACGCATTGATGACCTTGGTTTCAGAGGTATCTACAATATTTAGCATATATAGCAATTTAAGCTTTTTTGTTTTTGTCTTGAAACAAAAGATATATAGTAAATTTGGCTTACACCCTTCAAATTCAACTTACTTTACTTGCAACCCTTCACTTTTTGTTCCTATAAATAATACCCAATTTCTATAAGTAAAAACTCATGACTAGGATCCAACTCATCAAGTTACTTTATTAAGCTCAATATCTAATTTATTATAATTTTTTTTATTGCCAAAATACCCCTATTTATATTTCAAAGTGTAATTGGGTGGTGTTTTAATTTTTGGTTCCTCAATTTATTGTGGTGATTCCCTCTAAAAATTTTGTCAACAATTAATTATCCCTTTACCTATGAAAAATATAAATATATATGTATAAAAATATAGGTATATTATTTACCAAAA